GGCATGCGCCGGGTGACCGCCGTGGAGGAGCTGGCCGAGATGTGGGATACAATGATGGAGGCGTTGACTGAGGAGGTAGTGGGCCTGCGCGACATCGTCGGGGACAAGGCGCGCGAGTGCATGATGTCCGACCCCGTACCAAAGATGGAACGGAACATTCTTCAACTACCCGAGATCGAGCCTCATGCTGGTCAACGTGCTGAGTCGGACTTGGCATGGAAGAGGCGCGCGTTATGGATGAGGCACTTGCGGTTTATGAGGTTTTGCGCGGTGCTGGCTGTGAGTGAAGGAGACCAGGTGGACGGCGACAATGTAGTCAACCGCCTGCTGGAGTTTACTGATCTGGTTGGGGCCATGGGTAAGGCCCACGCTGCGTGGCCGCTTCTATTTTCGGAGGCGTGGGACATTTCAGAGCATGGTTATAATGTTTGTTAACGCAGGCTTCGATGACTCGGTGGGTAATGTTCTTGGGGCAAGAGTGTGCGCGTGACCTGAGGCAGCAACGAAGGGCTCGGCAAAGGTGGGGGCAGTTGCTCCAGAGTGTGTTCAGTGGTGGCGCAGAGATGCAGGAGCTTGCCGACGCAGGTGAAGGGCTCCAGCCCCGCGAGAGTGGAAACGTGCTTGCCGAGTTGGAAGGGTGCGTGGAGCGGGCGCGGTGATGCGTTGATGTCTAAACCTGGTGATTCTCACTCTTGGGAGGCCCTGCCACCCCTGGCGGCTGGCGACCCTCTGGAGAGCAGCAGGCAAGTTCACCGAGAAGACGGGCCTGGGTCCGTGCCGGGTTCATCCTCGCGGGTTTCAGAGATTACCGCAGGTTGGGTTCGTGTGTGTGGCGACGGCGTTGAAGAATTGCGAGGAGTTGGGTCCATGGCCGTCCGGCCGCCTGATCTCGGGGATGGTGAGGCTGAGCAAGCCCGATGGAGGTCATCGTCTGGTTGCCTTGTTGCATGCGATGACACGATGGCGGGGGTGCGCGCGTCGGGGGTGTCAGTATTGTGGGATGCGAAGCACCGGGCCAGTGTTTGCTGCGGCGGTGGCGGAGGAAGTTCGTCGTCGGATAGCGCGGTCTTTTTCAACGTCGCGGCCGGGGTGGCTAGGGTGACGGGCAAGCATGCAATCTCAGTGCTGATGGATCTGGCAAAGTTCTACATGGCGATGCGGACGTGGCGATGCTGCGTGAGGCTCGTGCAGCTGGATTTCCAGTGATCTTGGTCCGGGGTCTACACGTGCAGTATTCGCAGCGGGATGCAGAAGGGCGTATTGCAGCCATCTTAGCATCGTCTCGGTCTTCCAAGGCATCCAGACAGGTTGCAGCCACGCTGCGACGTCGTTGGTGGCTCTGCTGTGGAGGGGTACGCAAGCTACCAGAAGGTCTTGTATATCGATCACGCCGCGGGAATTGATGGGCGACGCGTCGCTGCAATGGGCTGGGGGCGACCTCAGCAGTGCCGGCGATCTGTGGAGCGCGACAGTGCGCTTGTGCAAGCGCGGGGCGGATCTGGGTCCGTTTGTGCAGGCCAAAAAGTTTGATTTTGTGGCGGCGTCAGGGGTGGCCCGGCGCTCGGGAAGTGTGCTTTCGGACTTCGCAGATGGAGGCCGAACAACTCGCCGGGGTTCTAGGACGCGAGCTCCTGGGCAGTCGAGTACGGCGTGCTATTGAGCATATAAGGCTAGCCGGAATTGAAGAGCGGGCTCCGAAGGTCAGGGCCCTCAGGCAAGGCTTTGGAGCGACGGCGACGTTGCTGTGGCGTGCAGGCGTGCGTGCATCGGCTGGACGTGGCGGGCCAGCATCGGGGGCGTCCGATTTGACGCTGGCCAAGCTGCGGATCATAGCGGGGGTGGCATCTCAAAAAGGGCGCTCACTCACGGTGCATCTGGCGAGGCAGAGGCAAACGCTCATGGGCCCAGTGTGTGACGCGACGGCCGTTTTGGTTTTCAGGCATGCTTCTTGGCAGTGGCAAGGGCGGCGTCGTGACGCGCCCATGTTGTGCGCCTGGCTAGCTGTGCGCAGGTCCGCTGGCAGCCATGGTGCTGGCGCTGGCTCGGATCGACTGGGAGATGGTCAGCCCCGCGCAGCTCCGCATGTGCGAAGTCAATCACGTGTGTGCCGCCCAGACTAGTGAAGGCGTTGGTAATCGAAGGGGTGGAGCACTGGCAACGCAGCCGAATGCTGGACCCCACCCCCGAAGCTACTGGAGCTGAATTCCTTTGGCATCGAGCGCTGAGGAAAGGGGTCCTGGGCTTGGACGCGAAGCAGCAAGGGGCAGCGCGCGCGGCGTGGTCTGGACCCCCCGTGCCCCCGCCAAGCGACGTCAACTTGGCTATCGGGCGAGCGCGGACTGCCCGTGGTGCCGGTCCCCGAACGCCGCGCATGGACATCGCTGGCATGAATGTGAGAAGCTGGTCTCGGACGAGGAGGTGAGCCTTTCCATGCGTGCAGCTTTTCAGAGCAAGCGTCTGGACCAAGCAGGTAGGGGGGCAAGGTCTTGGCGAGGTGTGCTACGACCCCCTCGGTTTCGTCGCGCTGATCCCGACCTTGCCCGAGGTGCCCTGGCCGAGTGATGATCCACTTGTCTTCTCTTGGGGGTTGGGGGGTATTGATTGCCCGACGTCGGCGATCGAGTTGGGTTTTCCCGAGGATTGGCTTCCTGGTTGCGGCGGGCCCAAGGTCTAGATGGCGCCCGCGTCCATTGACTGGGGTAAGCTGCGCAGGAGTCGTGCTGGACGTCAAGACGTTGAGCTGGATGTCGATCCGCGCTGGTGGAGATGCTCTGCCTCGGGCGACGGGGGCCCCCGGGACATGTGCCTGCCTCCAGCTAGGCCCAAAGAGGTGCGCGAGAGACCTGGTGGGGACTGCGGCCAAATGCGGCGGGTCTTGGGAGATGGGCAGCCATGTGGTATGACGGCGCGAACGTGGTCCCCTCGTCCAACGTGAACAGGATAGAATGGTGCGTGCCTTCTCTGGAAGCAGTATTGGCAGGTGGTAGCGATGATCTTCCACGTTTGCTGCAGTGGTGGTGGCCAACGTGCGCGGCCGGGGAGATCGTCCAGAACCTATGCGAGGGTGCCTGGCGCCAAGCTGAGTCCCGTTGGCGGCTCTTCGCGGCTAGTCTCCGTGACCTCCCACGAGCTGAACGGCGCGAACGAGGGCTGAGACGCTGGCGCGAGCTGGCCGAGCTACGCAGCGCGTTCCGAATATTATTGGGCGACAGAGCTCCTCGACCGCGCCAACCTAGGCGACCCGACCGGGGCGGCGAGGGTGACGGCGTGGTGGGCGACGGTATCGGGGGCGACCGCGACGTGAGAACGGAAGGCGTCAGTTCGCAAATCCTGGAGACGGCCGCGCTGGTTGCGTCCCGCGTGGCTGGACAAGGGCGCGCCCGACCGTCGTGCCCTGGCGTGGGGGGCGGATTGGCCGCGCCTGGCGTTCTGGCACCGATGCCGTTGTCGTGTTCGGGTTGTGTAGCCATTGTTTCAAATCTTGGGGATGACATCCCACGTTCAGTCGCGGTTTTGCCTGGGGGTTCGCGTGGCAGCTCGTCGCCGACTGCGTGTCCATCGATGCCGAGCTCGACTGCGACCAAGGGGGGCTCTACTGCATCGAGCGTGGCCACTTCGACGGCGGCGAGTGCGAGGGCAATGTCTTCGAGGACTACGGCTACTGGTGCGGCGGCGGCAAGGGCGGGGGCGCCAGCGACCCCCGCGCTGGTCTCGGACGCGGGCAACGAGGGGTCTACCTCCGAGCGTTTTTCGTAGGCAGCCACCCCGTCGCATCGACGCGGCGAAGATCCTTGGGCTGCCCGCGAAGGCCCGCCCTCGGGCACGTCTGCGTCTCAAGGGGTGGCCCCCGAAGAGGGTGTGGGCACTGCGTGGTGTTCTACGACTTTGACGGCCTCGAGGACATCGGAGACCTTGAAAGACGACCGCGACAGGTCCAAGGTCGGGTGCAAGGACATCGAGGTCACGGGCGACCTCGGCAGGATAGGGGAGGTGTGTCTTTGCGGACGGAGCTGCAGCGTCTTCCAGTTTCCGAGGCTGCAGGAGAAGAGGCTGGGCAGTGGTCAAGCTCTACGGTGACGGACGGCCATGCCGAGCTAGATGCGGAGTTGTGCCAGGTCACAATCAGTCGGTGCCCTGCGCCGGGAGGTGCGCAGCGGTCCAAGTCCTCGAGGTGGCAGACCAGCCAGCGGTCATCATCACGGACCACCTCTCCTTGAGTCCAAGGGTGATGGGGAAAAGCTATCGGGGAAGTGCGGGCTTGTGGCGCGAGGTGAAGCGACTATGTGATGTTGAAGGGTACAGGCCGAAGTTTATACGGCGAGGTTCGCACCTCGCAGTGGACCAAGCTGTTGAAACAGGATGTGATCTACTTCGCTGGCTGGGAAATCAGTGGGCAGATCTCTACGCGGGCCTAGGCTTGTGACGGCCTGAGGGGGCGCGAACGGTCTTTATGCTCAAATATCTTAAGTTTGGGAAAAGTATGAGGCTATTTTTTTTCTTCTTCTCTCCCCCAGTTCGCGTCGACATTGCTGGAATGCTGACATTGCCAGTTCGGGGGCGAGAAACAAGTTCGGACAAAGTTCAGATAGCGCTCGGCGGCGATGAACAAGTTCGAGACAAGTTCAGAAGTTGAAGTGCAAAAAGTTAGGACAGTTCCGAAGTTCAAAGATCCCATCGACAGTTGAAACAACTCAACGGTTCAAGCAGTTCACAAGTTCCCAGAAAGTTCAACCACATTCAAACAAGTTCGAAACATATAAGAGAAGTTCGAAAGCATTTGGAGTGGTCAACAGTTCAAACAAGTTCAGAAGCTTCAAAGTTCAAAGATTTGGAAAAGTCGTCGTTGTGCCAGGGGGGGCCTCTTGAATGTGTTTCGAACTTTGGGTTCTTGTGGGGTTTGAATTCGAACTTTTGATTTCCACTCTGCCCGAACCTAAACCCGAACTGTCATTTCTTCTCAGGAAAGACCACCTCCCCCCATCAGCCGTCTACAAGCCCAGTCAGAGACGACGTGGCACTAGCAGAGAGCTTCGTGAAGGATTGCCACATGAAGTTCGAGTGCGCGGTGGACGCGTTCACGACGCTGGGTCAGTTGGCGCAGAAGAGCGCAGAATGGTCGAGCAAGCGGGGTATCCAGGTGATACCGGAGGTCCGCCAGGCGTCGGAGCCAACATTCGCCGTCGAGTACCACGGCTTCTTGCGCGACCGCTCGCCTGGCGCGCCGATGGAGTGGAGGTGCCGCTCCTGCGACGCCGTGGCCAGATCTGATCATGCGTTGCTCAGCCTGCGCACAGAGGAGAAGTTCACGAGGTGTGAGCCAACGTAGGTGCTGAGCTGAGCTGGGCGGTAGACACCTTCTCTCAAGCGCGCTCCGAGTTCTTGCCATTCAGTGCGTCCGAAAGGAGGGGCGCGTCGTGGCCAAACCCACCGTGCCAGGGGCGATCTTCCACTATCGTGAGAATTGGGTGGGTCATGCGCCAGTTGCGTTCGTGCCAATCACGATCTGCAAGAAGTGTGCTCGGTATTGCATCGGCGGCGGCCGGGTCGTCGGCTTGGCGGCATTTTGCCTCGGTCAAGCTCCAGGCGGCCCCCGTGGCGCTCTCGTCGCAGAAGGGGGCCATCGAGCTCGCGATGGACCAGCGCAACCCGAAGACAGGGGTTTTCCAACGTCGGGCTGCGCTGCGCGAGGCTCTCATCACGGGAAAGTGCGACACCAACTCCGAGGTGATCGGCGACGGTGGCAAGGGCTCCCGGCGATAGAGGACGGCGAGCAAAGGCGCGCCTGCGTGCCGAGCGAGCTGGAGGTCTCGAGCCCTAAGCGCCGCGGCCGTGGCCGCATCCGCGTAGAGCGATGCCGAGCCTCCCGTCCGCCGTGGGTTGGAACGGGAGGCGCCCTGCGCCTCCTAAAGTTGAATCCGACCGAGTCTGGGCGAGGCGGTGCGCGTCCTCTCCTCTCCTTTTTTCTCCGTTCTTCTCGCTTCACCTCTCCTTTCCTCTCCTCTCCTCTCCTCTGCTCTCCCTTCCTCTCTCCTTTCCTCTCCTCTCATCTCCTCTCCCTCCTCTCCTCTCCTCCTCCTCCTCTCATCCCCTCTCCCTCCTCAGCCTTTTCCTCCTCCTTCTCCTCCTCCTCCTCACCCTCCTTCTTTTTCTCCTCCTTGTCTATCCCTTCTCCTTTCAATGCGCCCGTCCAGTCGCACCGCCAGACGTGTCGGTGTGGCGGGCCCGTCGTTTCTCTTAAGATGTCTTCACCACCTGTGATCCTGGAGTCTGGCTTTTGCAACAGCTTCACGGACGGAGCGCGGGTCGTTCTCAAATTGTGAATATCGCTTGGGCGCCGCGCGCGCTCGTCTTTCAACATTGCAGCCGCTTCGCGGATGGAAAGCGGTCCGTTTTCCAAAAACAACTCTCGCCCCAGCGCTGCGCACACTCGTTTTACCAGCTTGCCGCATATTCAAAGACGGAAGGTGGCCCGTTTTCAAAATGTCGTTCTCGCCAGTATCGCCAGAACCCCGCGCACATTCGGTTTAATCATATTGCAGCCATTTGAAGAAAATGGGGCGGCTCATTTTCAAAACGTTGGTCTCGCCTCGGCGCCGCACACAATCGTTCTCTAACGTTGACAGCAGCTTCAAGCATTCACATGGTTGAAGTACCAAGAATGGAGTTATGGTGCGATGGAGTGTCGTCCGGGCGCAATGTTCACGTTGTTCCGCGGTACTGATGTCCGAGACACGGCGTTCTGGTACGATTCAGGATTTGTCATAAAGCAGCAGTCAAGTTGAGTCGTGGCGTTCATGTCCATGAATGGTGCTTTGGCACCATTGCGGATTATCGGGCGATTGATTTCCAAAACAGCAAGTGATTTATGGTAAGGACTTGCGAGGAGGGAGCTCGGAGGGAGGGTTTGCTGCAACATCGCTGATGCGCCTTTGCTTTACACAGGCCTCTCCTCTTCCTCTTTTCCCCCTTCCTCCTCCCCCTCCTCCTTTTCCTGCTGCTCCTCCCCCTCCTTCCCTGTGTGAAAGGGTTTGGCCCTGCCGCGCCTGGAGGTGCCGCCTCCGCCGCTGCCGGCGGCGGCGCAGAAGCGTGGCGCCCCCAGCTGCCGTTGGGCGTCGTCGTCGTCGTCGTCGGAGGAGGAGGAGGACGAGGAGGAGGGGGAAAAGGAGGAGCAAAAGGAGGAGGAGGATGGAGGAGGAGGAGGAGGAGGCGGATGATGATGATGAGGAGGAGGAGGAGGAAAAGGAGGAAAAGGAGGAGGAGGAGGAGGCGGAGGAGGAAGACGAGGAGGAGGAGGAGCAGGAGGAGGAGGAGGAGGAAAAGGAGGAGGAGGAGGAGGAGGAGGAGGAAAAGGAGGAGGAAGAGGAGGAGGATGAGGAGGAGGAGGAGGAAAACGAGGAGGAGGAATAATACTAATACTATGAATGGTAATAATGATAATAATAATAATAATCATAACAATACCACGAACACGAAGAGGCATAGTATTAATAAGAAGAGAAACCATAATAATACTGCGAGTATTAATAAGAAGAGAAGACAAATAACACACATAATAATAATCATATAATAATGATACTAGTAATTATCAGAAGACGACTAACAGTAATATTAATACTACTAATACTAATGCGAAGACGAATAATAATAATCACAAGAACAATAATACAAAACTTCGTAATATTAATACTACGAAGAATAATGATAATAATAATATGATGAGGAGAAGGAGGAGGAGGAGGAGGAGGAGGAGGAGGAGGAGGAGGAGGAGGCGGAGGAGGAAGAGGAGGAAGAGGAATACTATTAATAATATTATTAATGATAATACCGATAATAATAATACGAATACGAATAAGAACACGAAGAAGAGGACGACGAATAGTAATACTAGAAAATAATAAAAACAATAACAATCATAATGCTAAACATAATATTGAAAATGTGAATAATAATGATCATCGTACTGTGAAAATGAAGAATAATAATGATAAGAAGATTAATAATGGTAGTACGAATAATAATAAGAATAGTAAACCAGGATAATAATACGAATACTAATAATAAGAAGACCAATGAGAAGAACATGTCACATAAAATATAATAATCGTACTAATCATATTTCTGTGAAGAATAATAATACTCATACTACTAAGAATAAGAAGAACACGGATACTACTGCGAGTAATCATAAGAATAATAGTGTAATAATAAGACTACTAAACATAGTCATAATACGAATGGGGAGGATCATGATAATACGGAAAACAAGAATACTGCGAATACGAATACTACTAATAATCATAATAATCAGAAGAATAAGAAGCATAGTACTCATAATAGCATGAATAGCAATATGAATAAGAATATTAATACTACTACTGACACTAATACTAATAGTAATATTAATACTAATACTAATACTAATACTAAGACTAATACTAATACTAATACTAATATTAATACTAATACTAATACTAATAGTAATACTAATACTAATACCCATACTAATATCAATACTTACACATAATAACAATATGAATGCTGCTACTACTATGCATAATAGTAGTAGTAGTAGTCGTAGTAGTAGTAGTAGTAGTAGTAGTAGTAGTAGTAGTAGTAGTAGTAGTAGTAGTCGTAATAACAATAGAAGTGATACTAACAATATTAATACTACTAATCATACTACTAATAGTACTGGTGATAGTACTGGTAATAATAATACGAATCATACTCATTATACTAGTAGTAATAATACTACTACTACTACTACTACTACTACTACTACTAATAATAATCATAATCATGATTGCTATACTCATGATATTACTAATAATACTAATTCTCATAACAATAATACTACTCATACTAATAGTGCTGATAATAATACTAGTAGTAATAATAATAGTAATATTAATAACAATAATAATAAGACGAATAAACATACGACGAAGCATGATAATACGAATAATCAGAGGAGGGAGCGAGCGAGCCGCAGGAGAGGCGTCCGAGTGACGAACACCAACCGCGTGTGAGACCTGAGAGCCACAGGGGTGGCGGAAAAGGCGAAAGCCTGGGAGAGGGTGGGGCGCCTCAGGAAAACCACACCCTAAAACCTCCCAGGGTCCAAAGAGCAACGCTAGGGGGCAGGGTTCTGGCCAGAACGCGCCGCACCTGCCCCTCGCTGGCGGGGCTCCAAGCCACGGGTGATTCTGTCGATCGCCGTGTGCTGGTTAGCCCGTGTCTTTGGATTCTCCGAAAACCCTTGGCACAACGCCCGCAGTTTGCGGGCGGACCTGAAGGACTCGGACCCGTTGAAATTGCCCCCGCACTTGCGGCAGCAATAAACGGAATTAACACAGAAAACGTCATGCCCCAATTCAGAGAATTCGGCAAGCACTGGTTGGGGAGCGTCGGCAGAGCCACTGGCAGCATTCGCCTGCTCCAGCGGCTGAGGAGGGACCGCGCCTTGCCCCGAGGAGGGCTCCTGAAGCCCAGGCGTGGACCCCAAAATCCTATCAGCCGCCTCGATGGCAGCCGTGACTCTAGAGTCCGAAATACTAAGCCACGCCTCAGAACTCCGCAGGAAGAAGTCATCGGCCAGGCTCTGGACCAGAGGCGTGGGAGCACACATTCGATCAGCTCCCGAGCGAAGAGTATGGAGGGAACTCGCACTTCGAGCGACTCGATTGCACCGACGACACCGGTACTCAGACAACCTCTGGCAGAAAAGCAACTCGTGGTCCTGGGGCCTCTCGAAGACCACACGCTTGGGCACCTGGGCAAGCTCTGGGTCCCGCTCCGCGATAGGATCCGTTCCCCACTTACGAAACTGAACCACCTGGAAGACCGCCCAAGACACATAATGCAAGACCTGCTTGTGCTGCTTCAGCGCAGCGGCCAAACTATCAGCCACTGTTTTAGACACCATGTGTGCAGCACTGCCGCACTTCGCGAAGAAGTCGGCCCAGGCATTGCCGACGAAGGCCTCCAGCTCGTCTGGCGTGGCCCACTCGATGATGTCCTCCAGCTTCCTGTGAGCTGGAGTCCACTGAAACCGCACTGGTGGCAGACGTGGATCACGTGCTCTGGCAGCAGAAAAAATGTCTCTCCAGACTCGGGCGTGCTTCGCTTTGCCAAACTCGAGCTTCTGGTCCCAGGACGTGCCCTCCTCAACGAGCGATTTCAGATCCGAAATGAAAACCTCATGCCCTGGATGCTTCTGAAGTCCCATCTTGATGGCATAGCGCTCAGCACGGCCTACCGTCTGCACATAGTAGGGCAAGGGCCCATATACAGCTCTGGCAGGGAGCCACGTGACGGGGTCCAACTGGCAGACCGACCAACCACACCTACGTACTTCAGGAATGCTGGCCGAGAACCCCGAACCATCAGTATAGGATGTAGGCCCCCAGGAGCCTGAGACATCTCCCCACTCAAAAGCTTCATTGGAGACCGTAGTGTAGTGCGGCACAGCGACAGGCTCAGGAACCCCATAGATCAAGTACCTCTGGTCCCAGTCGGTGCACCCCAGCAGCTGCCCAGACGCCTGAAGCATGTCTCGAACCTCCTGAAGCTGTTCTGGAAACTCATAATATTCCTGGTCGGGGTTCCCTTCGAGGAGCGGCGGGCAGTCGTAAAAGATATGACCCCAACAGGAGTCGATAGCCTTGCCACAGGCCTGACAAGGCCTAATGGGCCTCCCATGCTTCCTGTCCCGACGCGGTGGGATGGGGGGATTGTCTGCCCACAAAGCCTGCAGCGCT